CGTCTAGACTACAGGCTTTTGTCAACAGAAGTTTTGTCGACAGATACTGTCGATGAAGCTTCTGTTGACAAAGAGCATCTAGACTACATTCAGTTCTGTCAACAAAGCAAGCTGCTTTGTCGACATGGCAGTGTAGACGCAAAGGACAGTTTAGATGCAATAATGCTTTCTGTCTACAGAACTCTGTCGACAGAAGGCGTTATTCCTCGTAAAATGAGGTTTACCAGCGTCGACAAAACTGCTGAGTTCTGTCGACATTATGTCGACAGAACTCAGCGGTAGTGTACATGCAGGTTTAGTTTTGTCGACAAAACCCTGTACTCTAGACACACCCTTAGTGTCGTGGGGGATATAGGTTGCATTTTTGCTGTCAATGTATTGAGCCTTACATGCTGATTAGCAGACTATCCCAGCATTGCCCAGGTCCTGCAGGGCAGGGGGCTGGTCTTTTGGGGAAGTGGGTGCAGGAGGCTGAGGGCAGGGGGCAAGAATGAGGGTTGGGGCTGAGGAGGGTCTCAGGGTTGGGGGTCCCATCTGGCATGGGACTTTTCTCTTCCCGCAGCCTTCTCCCTGGCCACCAGGGTGCCTTTTTTTCCCCCTCTCCAACCCCCAGCTGCCAGGGCCCTTTTTTCTCCCCCCACCCAGTCCTCCTCTAGCTGCCGGGGTCTTCTGCCAACCCCTCTAGAGCTGCAGCCAAAGGGAGGAAAGTGTTTGGGGAAGGAGGCTATTTATGTGGTACACTGGTAGGCAAGATGACTGAGCGCCAGCCTTGTGGTGGTGCGGCTCTAGCCTGCAGGCTCCCTGCCCACAGACCCACTCTCATTTTGCGTCCCTCAGAACAGCAGCCCCTCCCCTTGCATGTTGTGGAAAACAGTCCCTTTTCCAGTGCTTCCTGTTGTCCTGGCACAGCCCATCCCTAACCAGGCTCTAAGTTAGGATAAGAAGAAGCTGCCTCCCACATCTGGTGGTCCTGGCTTTTTAGGAGGATTTCTTCAACGAACATGCTTGCACACGTACAGATAGACACAAACCCTAGATGGATGGATGGATGGGGATAGATAGATAGTCAAGAAAAATGGGTTCCCTGGGGCAGATATGGTGGACGGAAGGAAGTAAGGAAGGAGAACTCTTGTTTTCCACTGATATGAGGTATTAAAAGTTACAGTTTACGTTAAGACTTAAAAAACAACAAATAGTCCTGCAGCACCTTAGAGACTAACAATTCAATTTGTAATTACCATATAAGAGGGTTAATGCATGATGTAATGATGATTACACTATAAACACTTGATTAGAGTCCAGCAGCTAAATGGTCACTTATAGTCATTGATAACATCTTCTAATGTGAATATAGCCACTTAAAATCCACTCAAGTCTATAATCTGCTTTAGCATCAGTTAATATTATGGTTCCTTGTGTAAAGGGTTAATGAGTTAAGGATCACCAGATGAAACCTGTTGTTTGTTCTTTCTTTCATTGCCCCGTTCCACACACTTCTCAAATCAATTCTTTCTTTCAATATTTATGAAGCTAAAATTTAAAGAGAACACAAGGAAACCAACACTAGTTCAAAATAATGCATTTGAACCTGCATTTTAAACCCAATTATTTTCTTGTAGATAAAGATAATGCCTTGTTGGTGCCTTGAATGCTTCCCTCTCCCCCCCCCCACGCTTTCCAGTTTGCCAAGTTCTCATGACTCAAATATTTTTAAACAAATAGACCGCATTTTGTTTGCGTTATTTTCACCTGGCTCTGCAAAAGTTGAAGGAAAGTTATTACAGGAGGTCCTATCGCTTAACTTTGCAGTATTCTAAACAGTGAGACGATTAGATCGCTTAACTTTGCAGTATTCTAAACAGTGAGAAGATTAGCAGAACATTCAGGCTACGTCTACACTGGCCCCAAATTCCGGAAAAGGGATGCAAAGCAGGTAAGTCAGCATAGGGAAATCCGCGGGGGATTTAAATATCCCCGCGGAAGGTAGGAATAAGAGATCCTCCGGAAAAGGGCTTTATTCCGCCAGTCTAGACGCTTTTTTCTGGCTTTTCCCCAAGCCGGAAAAAAAGCGGCGGACATGTTTATTTAAATCCACGGGGGATATTTAAATCCCCCACGGATTTCCCTATGCTGACTTACCTGCTTTGCATCCCTTTTCCGGAATTTGGGGCCAGTGTAGACGTAGCCTCAGCCTCTGATGTGTGATTCAGACATACTGTACTGCGTACAGTATGAAATTCCCTCCTCTGAGCACGAGTAG